ATTTTTCCACAGTAGAAATAAAGTGATTCCAGCTATGTATTTTCTTAAAATAAAAAATTTAAAAACCTAAAAACAAAAACAAAAACAAAAAAACAGCACTATTATTTTTGGGGAAAAAACTATGATATTTATATATCATTGTTCCTTTAAAGCACAACACTTTTTTACCAAGTTTAATGGATCGCTGTAGTGAGTGAGGGATAACTTAAATGAGAGAAACAGGACACAAAGAGGTTGACTAACTTGTCCCATATCATAACTTTTCAAGATTTCATTATTATTCTTCACATACCCCACCCCCACAAGATAATTTTCTGATTATCATTGAATGACAAAATGCCAGCTACCGGCAGAATTATAGATGAAACTCAAGACTTATTTTCACAGGTCACTGATAAGATTTTGGGGAAAATCACAAAGATATGAGAAGATACTACAATAAATCATATGACTCCCATCTCTGACCCTCTTGGCTGGAACATTCAAGGTTTTAGTATTCATCTTTTGTAAATTTTTTATCTTCAAATAATAATAGGCAGATGTCTGAACCTAGACTGTTAATATTATACATTTTTAAAAAAACATAAAAAACCTTACATTCCTTGAGTTTATTCATTCACCCATCTTGTATTGTGCCAGAAAGAGGAGTTAAGGCCATTACTTTTACTTTACTCAGCATCCCAGCTTTCAGAATAAGGGGTGCAAAAGCAGCTTCATTTGCCAAAGGCCAAAAAGCCGTGAGACTTGGGCGAGTCAAGCCATTACCAGCCACTTGGCCTTTTTGCAGAAATACACAAAACGTGTAGAATCGCTTAATTTTATCCCCTCCTAACCTCTTCACTTGGAAATTGGCTGCTCGGGCGAATGTTGTTCATCCCTCCCGGAGCCATGTGTGAAGAGCGATTAACACTCGCTCGACAAACCCCTTCCCGGGCCATTTGGGAGTTACACGCGTTCACACCCGGGTTGAGCCCGTTGCACCTTCACGCGCAGCCGTTTTGTTTATGCGGCTAGCCGGGCAGAGAGGGGCGGAGAGGTAACGAATCTCTCAATAAGCGGCAGGCAGCGGGGGCTATATAAGCTCGGGGTTGGGGCCTGGTGGGTGGAAGGGGCCAGACTTGCCCGCGAGCTGACAGCGTCGGTCCACCCAGCCCCACCGCGCCATGGAGCCCGCAGAGCGCTCGGAGAGCGGAGCCGGCGAGCGCGCGCGCTGCAGCCGCCTGCTGCCCTTGGTCCTCGACCGCCCCACGCGGCGCGGAGGCACTGACTCCGGGTACCGCGCCTCGCCACCGACCTGCGCCTGTTCCCCCCCACCCCACTCCCCACTGCGCCTCCCCAACTCCTCCCCTCCACTCTCCGCCCCCCAACTACCCCCAGGCCTGCACTCGGCTGCAAAAGGTTGTGCCGGGTCTGGGCTCACGTCTCCTCTGCGCGCCTTTGCTCCCCACCCCGCAGATCCGGAGGTTTCTGGAGACCCTGGGTTGATGCCCGAGGCGAGCAGGAGGAGGAGGCGCCGCACCACGCCGCGGAGGCGGTGAGTGAGGTGCTTGTGGCGGGCAGCNCAAGAAGGAACATTAACTGAATATTCAGCAGCCAGAAGGGCAGGTTATGGTTATGGGCAGGTTACCCTTATCTGCTGTTTATTTCTGTTTCTCCTCTTTCTGGATACACGATGGAATTGTACTTCCCTGCTCCTTTGAAATTAGGTGTGTCATATGACTTGTTTCGACCAATACAACATATTGGAGGTGATGTATGTCACTTCTAGGTAGAAGGCTTTATAAACTGGCGATTGTAACTTTCTTCCCTTCCTTCTGATTTGACAATTGGCAACATTTCAGAGGAAGGAGGCTCCATCAGCTTGAATCTTCACGTGAAGATAGTGTGGCACAGGATTTCCACCTATCAAAAATGGGCGTACAGCATGAGTGAGAAACAAAACTCTATTATTTTAAGCCTGTGTGATTTTGGAGTTACTTGTTATTGCCACGTAGCCCAGTCCAACTTGACTGGCTCAAGATCAAAAACCAAATTCATTAACTCTTTTCCCTATACATTATTAACAGAATAAAACAACATAAAAGCATCTTACCTGCCCTTCTTCCTACATTCCCTGTTTTCTTTGTCTTTGTTTGAGCCATAACCTTCTGCCCACTTAAATCATCTAGAGCATATCTAGACTCCACTTTCATGTCCACCCACATTTTATGATTCAGCTGGTTCTGTAGATTCTATTCCCTAAGTATTCCTCAAATACATTCTTTCATTTCTATCCTTATATACATCTTCTCATTATGTGTTGCCTGAATGATTGCAGTGACTTTGTAAATAATCTCCTTGCCTCCAGTATCAGCCTACCCTATCCATCTTCCATTTGGCTTCCAGAGTAACTTTTATAAAATGCAAACTTTAACCATTCCACTCACCTGCTTAAAATCTTTTACCAGTGTTTGCAGAATAAAGCCAAAAAGCTTTGTCACAGTATACTAGGCTCTTAGTAGTCTAGGAGCCTCAGCCACATCTCCACACCAGCAATACCTTCTCTTCCCACTCCTGCCCCCCCCTGCCGCCCCCCATGCACAAAAAGAAAGAGAGAGAGAGAGAGAGAGAGAGAGAGAGAGAGAGAGAGACACTGAGAAACTGAGAAACTATACTATTTCTTGACTGATCCTTCTAGAAATCTCAATTTAGGTTCCATTTACTCTAAGAAGGCTTTCATGGTGATCCCAAACAGACATACCTATTCCCTCCCTCACACCACTTCTCTGCCTAAAATGTGCTTTTGTTATTGAATATGGCATTTTTAAAAAAGATTTGCTTATGTGGCCATTATGATGACCATAATCCTCTTGTGAATAGGGGAAATATCTTATTCACCATTATACCTGGAAAACACAGTATTTAGCATATTACAGGTACCTCAAAAGATGTTTACAGAAATGAAA